ATATATATATATATATATATATATATATATATATATATATATATAATATGAATATATATATATATATATAATAATAATAATAATAACAATAATATATATATATATATAATATATATATAATATGAAGAGGAATTTTGTCTCTCTCTTTTCCTCTTTTTATATATATATATATATATATATATATATATATATATATATTGTTGTTGAAAATTATAATAAAAATTTTATTATTTTAGTCTCTTGATTTTATAAAAAATAATTTTTATACAAAGTATCTGTGTGTAATAACGAGATATTATTTTAATTAATTATAATCATATTATAATTTACCGAAATATAAGAGTGTTGTTTGAACGACAAATGTTTTGGAAAAGAAAGAACATACACATAAGGTATGAAAGAGTAGATGTTAACAGCAATCGCAGAACACGACAATTAGAATTTGAATAAGTAGGTTTAGGAGTAGCTAAAAAGGCACAATGGACGAAACCTTTTCGATTTATATACGGCATTCAGGAAGTGGCGCCCTTTATTCTCGCCAATTACGCAAGCGGATCTTCTCCGTTTCCCCATTTTTACGACTTCGTCAACCCCGGAGCCTCCTTTATAGGTTTCCTTCCTGCAACCGCAAGGATCGTAAAACGCGGCACGCGGCTACCGTTCCCAGCGATGATCCGATAGTAGATTAGTTTTACTAGTTCTTAAAGAGGGTGAACGTCCAAACATCTCGTCTCGACGACGCGGCATCTGGAAATTTTAGGATGAATCAGCTAAGGAGAAACTGTGAGGGTCTAATGATTACCATTATTGTCTCCTAATCGGGAATTCTCCAAGATTCAAGTAATTTTGGAACCAATTTTCAAAATTCAAGATGTAAGTCACCGGTGTTTCAAAATTTCCCTCGGCTCGATACGCCCCATCGATACTCACCGGCTCGTAAATAAACATTTCTCGCGTCCTGCCTCATGTAAAAAGTCGAGGATATATAGTGGAGCGCAGTCAATCGGAGTTCAAACGAAACTTCCCCCATAATTGCGGAGCTAGCTAGGTTCGTGCGGGGGGAAT